CGCGTGTGGTGTGTGTGTGTGTGGTGTGTGTGTAGTGTGTGTGTGTGTGTGGTGTGTGTGTGCGTGTGTTGTGTGTGTCATTGCGTGTGTGTGTGTGTGTGTGTGTGTGTGTGAGAAAGTGTTTTAGTAATGTGTGTGAAATATTCAGTAGAGTGTGTGAGAGCGTTTCAGTAACAACGTCCCTAAAGCCCACTCATAAAATCTTCCCTGTCAATGCCAAACAGCTTGTTCTGCTATCGACACCTGTTTCGTGTCATTTGTTGGATTTCACGATTAAAGTCTGGAGAACACCAACCATATCATTTGGATCGAGGCGAGCAATGACTGTAAGTTGTGCTTTAAACTGGCAATGAAACGCTAAATGTATAAAAGCTAATTTTGTCACGGTTTGCCGGGGCAAGCCGTGTGGAGGTGGAGAAAGGACCCAAAAGGCGGCAGCTCTGGTGCAGGTGAGTGTTTATTTACAGCAGTGGGTACAAACAGCAACGGGGTGTGAACATGAAACCGAAAACCTAAACTGGGTAAACTAACAACACAAACCAGGAATGACGGTGCAGGGAGATCCGGGGAAATACACATGAAGAGACGCAGGGAGACCGAGGGGAAACAACACAGACGAACCAGCAACTACTATGACAGAAGACACAACTTAAAAACACTCAGAGAACACAGGGAGATCACACACAGGTGGGGGACACAGCTGGGAGTGATTAACATGGACGAGACCGCTAATGAAAACTGAGAAGATTTCAGTTGAACAGGAAGTTGAGAAAAACAAACAGTACATTTCAATATCGCGAAAACCACGCTGATGTCTACTCAACAGCTTGTTAGCAGCATAAGAGAACAATTTTTTGGCCTTGGTAGTGACCATCCGAACACTGTTGTAGGATAGCAACAAGTCTAGACCTCCTGGCCATGCTAAGTTGCACCATGCTAGCTGCACCTACAATCTGAAAAGAGGACTGTGTGACAGTACCTCAACTACAATGAAATTTTATCTGATACCCTGAATTTTTCACATGCATTCTTTGAGATAAGAGGCAATGAAGAGGATGTCGTAAAAATGTTTCACTTGTGCCCTGCAATGTATTGAGTCTTTCAAAACAAAAATCCAGACAATTTTAGACAAGAGGGAGTGCTAGATGATTATACACAAACTCTATTGGGATTTCTTGTTTCTGGTGTCTGATGTCCAGATGCCAAAGTGTGACTATTCAGCACATCCACACTTATACTTACAGCAGGTTGATGCTCCATGGCTGTCACATTTTAAAGAGTTCTGATGGTCTCTTTTAAGACTAATATATTTCACTTTCAGGCTGTTGAGCAGACATTAATGTAATGTTATCTGTATTTTGAAATGTGTTCTCACTGGTCACTGTCCTGTTCACCCAAAACACCTTCCTATTCAGTTTAAACGGCTTCCTTTTCACCTGAAACAGCTTGGTTTTCAGTAGTGAGAACCTTTCAGAGTTTTTATTAGGTGTAACCCACATATTCAACTCTACTCAACCCCAAAATACATTTCCTAGACAAACTTGGTACCACTATAGGGGAAATTGGGGCTTTTCAGTGGTATAAGATTTAATGCCAAGAAGCATCATTACAACTTAGAGATAATAGACAAATTTCCTTACTTTTTTGTAGGCTGACACGCACTCATCCAAATCTTTTAATAAGTAGTGCTGAAATTTTGGACTTGTCAAGTTAATAAAACTTGACAAGTCCAAGGCCTATTAACTTTTCTTAACTTGCCTTAGTTATCCTGACTCTTGCTAGCATAAAAAATGATTTATTACACAAAATTCACTGGACTGAACAATTATCAGAGTCCCAGATATGTAGATTTCCACAAGTTTGACCAATTTGCCAAGGTCTGGAGGAAGTCCCAAACCATCACCCTCAGGAAATCCGTTAGGTCTGCCCAGGGACCACTAAGGCTCAAACCTGCCATGAATTGGAAATTGCTGGAACACTAGCAGCACTGTCCACAGTGTTTTGCAACACTATTGACTGAGAGGGTGCCAATAAAGAAAGAAGCTCCTGCTCCAAATCAACACCTTTGAGCTCAGCTGCAATTTCCAGTTTACCAGATGGACAAGCCAAATACCTTCTGGAGAAAAGCTTTATGGTCAGACCAGTCAAAGATTGAGCTGTTTTGACACATTTACAAGAGGTATGTTTTGGGGTTGTAAAGGTGAGGCTTTCAAACATAAGAACACTGTCCCAGGTGTCAAGCATGGTGGTGGTAGTATCATGCTTTGTGGGAGTTTTGCTCCCAGTGGTACTGTTACATTTGTAAGTGGACAGAATAATGAAGAAGGAGAACTACTACCAAATTCTTGAAGGCAGAATTATGCCAGGAACTTGTAGATGGCTACCAAAAGAGTTTGGTTAGATGCTTTTGGAAGCTTTTGCTTAGGGACAATCAAATATTAGTGGTGGGGTTTTCTGTATATATTTGATTTATTTATATAAAGACATGGCTGTACAATCATTACACACTGGAAAAAGAACAGTTCAAAGAAATCATTAAAAGCTTAAAATCAACACCAGGGGCTCTGCCACCAAGGAGTTGTTTAACTGCCTCAGTGACCTCGCCCCTGGAAATTGGCGGGTCATTCCCCTCATCCCCAGACTCTGCTTCCTCCTCGGAAGACGTGTCAGTGGGATTAAGGAGGTCCTCGAAGTATTCCTTCCACCGCCTGACAATTTTCTCAGTCGACGTCAGCAGCGCTCCGCCAGCACTATACACAGTGCAGGTAGAGCACCGCTTTCCCCTCCTGAGACGCCTGACGGTTTGCCAGAATCTCTTCGAGGCAGTCCGAAAGTCTTTTTCCATGGCCTCTCCGAACTCCTCCCACACCCGAGTTTTTGCTTCAGCCACTGCCCGAGCCCATTCCGCTTGGCCTGTCGATACCTGTCGGCTGCCTCCGGAGTCCCACAGGCTAACCAAGCCCGATAGGACTCCTTCTTCAGCCTGGTGGCTCCCTTCACCTCTGGTGTCCACCATTTGGTTCGGGGATTACCACCACGGCAGGCACCAACCACCTTGCGGCCGCAAGCTCAATGCAGCAGCTTCGGCAATGGAGACGCTGAACATGGTCCATTCGGACTCAATGTCCCCAGTCTCCCTCGGAATGCTGTTGAAGCTCTGCCGGAGGTGTGCGTTGAAGATCTCGCGGACTGGGGCCTCTGCTAGACGTTCCCAGCACACCCTCACTACGCGTTTAGGTGCACCAGGTCTGTCCAGCGTCCTCCCCCGCCACCTGATCCAACTCACCACCAGGTGGTGATCAGTTGACAGCTCAGCCCCTCTCTTTACCCGAGTGTCCAGAACATATGGTTGCAGGTCTGCTGATACGATTACAAAATCCATCATCGACCTGCGGCCTAGAGCGTCCTGGTG